GCAGAGAAGAAGGATGGGTTCATCAAAATCAAGGCTCTGAAGGAAGAGCTCAGCCGTGAGCAGGCAGAGAAGAAGGCTGGCTTCATTAACATCAACGCTCTGAAGGACGAGCTCAGCCGTGAGCAAGCGGAGAAGAAGGCTGGCGTCATTAAAATCGAGGCTCAGAAGGACGAGCTCAGCCATGAGCAGGCGGAGAAGAAGGCTGGCGTCATTAAAATCAAGGAGCTGGAGAGACTGCTCAAGGTCACAGAAGAGACGTGGGTGACCAAGCATGAGGCTAAAATTGTCCATACGGATCAGATGATCGCCAGTCTCACCAGTCAGAATATAGCACTGGAAGCCAGCAACCAGAAATTAATCTCCATACAGCAAGCCACCGAGATAAGGATCCTCCAGAACAAGACTGAGTGGGAGACAAAAGTTGACGCTCTGGAGGACCATCTCAGTTGTGAGCAGGTGGAGAAGGAGGCTGGCTTGATAAAAATCAAGGAGCTGGAGAGACTGGTCAGTGATACTGAGCAGATGTGGGCGGCCAAGTACGAGGCCGACATAAAGATGCTCATCCTGAAACAGATCAAGCTTCAGGTAAGTCACATCAGCTMCGTTTGATTTGAATAAGAACTAGTTGCACTTTAAGTTTGTTTTTTATTCAGACTTTTGAAAGAGAAAACATCTAAACACACTCGTCTCTGTCTTTTCAGGAACTGGCCTTGATGAGCGACAAGGACAAGGCAAAGAAAGTAAAGGAGCAAAAGAAAGCARAGAAAGAGGCAGAGAAGAGGCGAAAGAAGGAGCTGAAAGAGAAGAAGAAGCAGGAGAAGAGATAGAAACTAGACAGAGAGAAGGAGAAGAAGAGGCAAAAGAAATGTAAAAGAAAATGTGTACCTCTTTAAAAAAAAATAAAGTTGAAATTTAATCAACATCTCTTGTTTCTTCCTCAATACACACTGGTGTTCATTTTGTAAGTCATGGTTCTATATAGAGTCAAATATATGATGTGTATATGATATATACTGTATATATAATGTGATTGACAGCTAGTAATGTCCAATGGGTGCAGGTTGCAGGGGGAGGAGGGCGTGCAGTGTCCTCGAGCTCTCAGTCAGGCTCCACCCCTCGCTCCTACTAATGTGGTCACTTCTGATTTWAAAAAACAAGATGGTGCCGGACCAAATAGACGAGAGGCTACAAAGCAGCAGCTCATAAACTGAGCAAGCTCCGTTTCAGAACTATAAATTAAATAATCTCATTGTTCAACGTGACTCCTGACTGGACAGATGTGACGGAGACGAAATCAGGAGCTCAGACGATCGTGTGAGGATTTCTATAAGTTTTGGTTCGTTTCAGGAGAATAAAACTAGGACGCTGCGTCGCTTTTAAATTATGGGACGGAATTTTCTCCTCTCCTTGTGTGAAGGATGGTCCAGTGTTTCCTCTGCTAAAGGAGATAAGATAGGAAGCATAGAAGCTCATTTCCTTATGATTTAGAAAATTCCAACAGCTTGTATTATTGCAGCAGCTGAAAAACTTCAGGTCATTTCACTGCGTTAAGAACCTTCATGAGTGAAATAAACTGCACCCACAGCGTCTCTCTGCCTGTGGACTCCACAGAATTTGTTTGTGGCTGTATTTTAGTGTGTCTATTAAAATGTCCTTAACAATTCTTTAGTAAAAAAAGTTAGTTCAAACTCGTGTTGCCTTCCCACATTTGTCCACCCTCCAGATATTGTGACTGATTTCCTCCTCATATTCTTCCATTACTGACAAAACATCTGTCATCACGGCTGTCCATACTGCTCCCTTCATCTCTGTCGGCCATTTTCTCAGGTACAAATTTATACACCCCTCCATTTATGTTAGACACTGTCTTTTCTCATCAATTATGTAAATGTTGTGATTTACCACACTTCAGGGTCGCGTTACTAATGCCACCGGCTGAGTCAGGGGATCACACAGTCCGGTGTTTCCACCGAGCAGCGCTGGGATGTGGCGGTTTATAACCTCGGTTAACACACGTATGTTAGCTGCCTCGGTGCGTGTAAACCAGCCGGAAGGATCTTTGTACCTTCACTGAGCTTTTGGCCTTTAATCACTTGCTTTTGTTCCTCCTCTGGTGTTATTAGTCTCAAATTAAAAACAGAGACGACCACAGCAACATTCCTTGGCATAGAATGATAGTTCCAGGCAAGTCGGGTCTGATAGAAAGAATTTTATGCAAAGTCTTCATATTTCATAATAGATTTTGATGATATTAGAGCGCTGCATGGAATAAATCTTCCCTGGAATCTGAGCCTCAGACTTGGAAAATGCTTTCATTTCCGATATTTTATCCCTTTAAGCTCAGTTCATTGTTGAAGGTATTGTTATTTCATGTGGTGCATCGAGGGTACGCAGACAGGGTGGGAAATAGGAGTTTTAAACATCTCAGTGCCTCTCAGGTACTTTTTAACTTGGTTTGCAGCTTGATGTCAGAGTTTGTTTCAGGAGTGTCACCCGTTCCTCAACTGTGGCATCGAAGATTTTGTCTTTTCCTCACATGTTCAGCTCATGTTAACCCATAAAGACTCCACTCAGGTTACAGTGGGAGGTTACAGATAAAAACCGTGTAATCCCTGGGTGATGACATGAGTTAAAATGATTGAATTAAACCATCTCAACACTTCAAAGAGTCTTGGTACATTGAAAACATGAGAGCTTACTTCAAACTAACTGGGTCACTGCTCTTTCTACTGGATCAGAGTGGAACTAACGCTCTGATTAGTCGACTTGAAAAGAGTCGAGCTCCATCCACCAAACCAAAAGAAGTTAAATCACCAATTTTGCCCTTAAAGTTCACTTTACTCAAGTTTTGGGTTTTCCATTAGTTTACCTAATGCTTGTGGGATTTTAGTGTGCACACATAACCTGAACTGTATCAAACAGGTTCTGCATGTGAATGTAAAGAATCTGAAGGTGTGGGACAAGATTTTCGGGGCCGTACACCTTCTGGTTTCCGTTTCTAGTTTGAGCAGGCTTTGGTTGACCGTAGGTAAAAGGTCTGTGTGGAGAGCGAACGAGGAACACATCGACCAAAGTATGTTTTCTGTGGCAAACCGTTTAATTCACATGATAAAAGAAATGAGTCCAAATAAATATTGATCGTTGACCCCAAGAGCTAATTCTTGATCAGAGGCTCATCGACCCTTCCTCTTCTTACTCCAAAATAATGAAATAAAGACTGCAATATCCTAAAAACCCAAAGATTTTTAACAAGAAAATAATCAAATCTTTGTCCAAACTTTCAGAATATCTTCTTGCATCTTTGAATCCTGAAATATTTCCGTGTAACACAAAAAAAACGTATGGATGAAATCCAAATAAATCAATCAGCTAAATAATCTGAACTGATTCTCACTGTTGTTCCTACAGGCTGGGCTGAAGCTTCCTCTCTTCACTACTCAGATGGCCACTCCAGCCGTCTCTCCCTGGAGAAAACCTTTGGCCGGTCGCTCAAAGACTCCCAGTGCCAACACATGCTGAAGCACCTTCACAACGGAGCCAGAATCACTGTGCAGATGCCTCCTAATGTGGAGGGTCGCTGGGTGTCCACCAGGTAAACTACTGTGGGTCCATGGTTCTGTATTTTTATAGGAATGCAGACATTGTTGCTCAAATACAGTGAAGTTTCAACATTTATCTTGTACAGAAAGCCGTGTACATGCATGTGCACTGTTCAAACTACTTCTGAACTCTAATGTTTTCTTTGGCAGCTGTGAGGTGAGACCAGGGCCGGAGTTCTTGACTCGCTCCTACAGTTTCTTCCCCAACAACACCTTCCAGGCTCACCAGTTCTACTACGAGGACAACCACTGCACCAAACCCACCTACACTCTGCTAATCCGAGGTCGTCTCCGCTTACGCCAGGCCTCCTGGATCATCCGCGGCGGCACCGAGGCAGAGTACCACCTCCATCGTGGCCAGATGGTCTGTCACACAGCCACCGTGGCCAAAGAGCTCAGCCAGAGGCTTAACCAGAGCTGCCGCGGGGCAGTGAGGGGCCCCTGGGAGTCCGGGAAGATCTACGATCTGTGGAGCGAGGAGGGCGGCTACGACTGCTCCAGGGAGCTCAACTTCGCCATGCATGAGCTGCAGCTGCTGAGGGTCGAGAAGCAGTACATGCATCACAACCTGGATCACCTGGTGGAGGAGCTGTTCCTGGGAGACATCCACACAGAGCCGTCACAGAGGCTGTACTACAAACCCTCCAGCTACCAGATGGCCCTGCAAAATGCCAAGGTCGGTCTCTTCTCAGTTTTTGTGTAATGCTGCTAAATAACGACAAACAAATTCCAACAGAACCTCGTGTTCGGAGCAATCTGATTTCTTTTTTCAGATTACTTTTACATGCGTTAAAATCATTATTTGAAACTTTGGCCAAATGTTAACGTGGATATCCGACTCACATATCATTCAATTTACGACAGGAAATAATAGTAATAGGCCCCCTACAACCAATTAGAAAATCTGAGCCGGAGGTCTAGTTCTTGCAAAGACACAGAGTTTGTTTTGGCCCGAGAGACGATAGCAAACAGACAGAAACCCTCGACTGTGCAGGTGCCCCCCCTCCGTCACTCCTACCAGTACACGCTGCTTGTGCACCGACCGTCTTCCCACCCGCCAACCGTCGTTTGTGTTGGTTGGAACACATGACCGGGCCGGAGGGAGAGTTCAGTTTTCTGTCCCGTGTGTGCGGCTCAGTGAACAACCTCTGCTGAACTTCACTCCCACTGTGCCGAGCCTCCACACCGCAGAGACCACACACACCAAACACTGACCCTAAAAACACAATGTTTTATGGGAGTTTTCTTTTGGTGTAGTTTACTCGCTCTGGGTGAAATAATATCTGAAAGGAACCCTAGCTTTGTGTTTACGAGGTGTGGTCTGACAAATCTATAGCGAACAAGTGTCGGCTGACTGAATGTCGAGTTATTTTCTGTGACGGATTAAAAAAAACAAATTATCTCCACCAAATACTGTTGAAATCTGATTAAGGATCAGTGTGTAAGTCAATAATCATGCCCTCATACCATAATACACTAAACATTTGCACTTGCAGAAACCAGAAACTATGCACATGCTGATTTCATCTCCCAAATCTCGCCTCAAGAAAGACTCCTTTCTTCCCTCCGCTGTGCGTACGGGATGTAATTTCTCTATTTACACGGCCGAACAGCAGTTTCCCCGCCGGGTGAAACCCTAGAGTGATGTTTTCACTGTCACCCTCCACAGAGATTACAATGAAATCCTGTTCGGGTCTGCCGTCTAAACAAACACCCATTTGTACGGGGATGACGGGGCTCGGTGTTGCTGATCAGAATGTAAACAGTGTGGAGTGAGGAGCTGTGATCAGACACGCTCCCCTGTGGCGCTGTAATGACCAGAGCTGCTCTCCTTAAGCCCCTCCAGCCGACGGGGGCGCAACGTGAGACCCGGCCTATCTCTGCGAGCAATCAACATGTGGTATTCCTAGAATTCCGAATCATGCGGCCATATGAATTATTCCAGCGAGCACATACCAGCTCTGATTTCATGCATGCCTGAGGCTCGAATCAAAGTGTTGCATGTACTCTGTTCCTCCTCCTCCATCTTCTTTGAATAAGGAGGACGTACGGGGGAGTTGGTGGAGCTGAGACTCACTTTTAGTTTTCAGCTAAAGTCGAACATACTGCGATGACTTAAAGGGTCAGTTCAACAAAATGACAAACTAATATCTCACTGCTGGTCGCGTGTTGCCCTGTGGTGTTACTTGTGTTTTACTTGAGTTTTTCCATGTCATGCTACTTCTTGCTTTTAGTCTGCCGCATTTCTGAGAGAACCGATATACTTGAAACTCCACTGCATTTTAATGAAACTGCAATATGTTCACATTACAAATTAAAACATTTGTTAAAGTTCAAATTTGTAACAAACAGCTCCTCCAACATTAATGAAACTTTGCAAAACCCCACACTTAAACATTTCTTAGAGACACTGACAATAATTACATTGAAAAAATATAGTAATTATATAAAATAATAACATAATTAGTTTATTAGATCCTCATATAGCGACGCTATGTGTTTGTTTCTCTGCAGGTTTTCACAGAAGCCATGAAATTTGGGGGCAGGTTTTTTTTTTCTAGCATTGATAGGATGTTTTTTGGGGGGGGAGGGGTGGATGGAAATAGTCTGTCATGTTCAGGGGAGTGGTATTTCCAACTGTGTGAAATCTGGTGTGGCTTGATTGAATTGAAGGAGCTGTTGGGTGATTGTAGAGCTCCACTGTTCTGCTGCATGTGTAAATAATCAACTGTATATACAAGCTTGTTGCACTGCCCCCAAGTGGTCAAATAATAATAACATGATACAGCTTCAAATATTTTATCTAATTGCTGTGAGCATTTTAAAATCTGAATATATTCTGGCCTCTGTTGTGTGGTGAGATCCGGTCTGACGCAGGTAAATCAAAAACCTCATCGTGAAGCTCCACAGCTATTTACACGGTTAGATCCCAGCAGAAAGAGGTGAGGAGACACCGATTTGTAATTTGGTTGAACCAACACTCGAAGCTTCTATATCGTTGAACATCCTAAGTAAGTTGAGTAATTTTATAGCTTTGGGCTCAACTGCACACATCCAGTAAATCAGGTTTTAAAATCTATATTTTCCTGGTGAACATCAGGAGAAGTACCTCACTCCTTCCTCTCAACTCCACCATGTCTTGCGGTCGTAACGAATTCTTTTCGGGAATTTTCTTCTTTTTTTTTTTTTTTTWTTGCCATGGTGACCATCCAATCCATTAATCTTGGAGCTGTGTGCACCCAGAGCTGGTCCCAGTCCAGGACGTCTGCCGGTGCCAGCAGTGTGTGGTTATTGGGTGGATCTCAGCGGTGATGCAAGGGGCACGGCAGCAGACTTTGTTTTTAGGCCTGTTTTCTGTCGCCTGGTTCGCTGCGGCGTCACCGAGGCAGAGCAACAACCGCTTGATAATGACCCGTGTCGAGAGGGGATCTGTGTTTTTTTATATTGTTTCTGTCGGTTGTTGGCGTTTCAGCGGTGATGGTGTTTTTACGTCCTCTCCCTCATGCAGAGACTCATTTGTGACGTCTTGTGCTACTTTTCCTGTAAGAGCTTGAGATGCTTTTTAAAACTTGAGCCAGTCAGTCGAAGATAAAACTCTTATTATGGATTCCTGGGACGTCAAATTACTGGAAAGATGCTGGTCTGGTTTCAAGGACATAGAAAAACATGGGTGTAGTGTTCAGGCTATCACCAACAGGTTTCTAGAGAAGCGTTTTTAAGCCTGACGTGTTTTCTGTTCCTCGTAAAAAACTTTGGCTTCTGGACATTGTCCTCCTCTGAACTATGGTGGTAATCCCCCAAAGTGCCCAAATGAAAGATGGCTGCCAACAAACGTTTAATTCACTTGTAATTCTTCGCTGTGGCCTGGGTCTTACCTCGTTTGCGCGTCGCTTCAGACGAAAGCGTCCGTCCGGTGTCGTAAAAAAGCAAAATGAATTCAAGTCATTTATGTGAAGCAGAGGCCGTAATATCCGGCCTTATTTCCTCATTGTCTTCACTTCCAGTAAGTTTAGAAGCAGATCTTTTATTCCAGTGAAAACTGTGTCCAAGAAGTCGCAGCAGGAACAAGCTCTTACAAGTCAGACACTGCAGCTGCTCTGTGGTGAGGGAACCCGCCAACTAATGATTTCTTATTAACTGCAAAGTTAAAGTTTGTGAACCTTCTGGTTTGTTCATTTATCATCATCAGGTCGACCCCTCAATAAACTCAAAAAAGCGACTGTGGTTTATTGGCTGTGAAGACGATAAATCAACTGTATTTACACAGTATTTGTAATTACTCATTTAAATTATAGTTCAAGCAAAACTATCTCAGATTGGTGTATTTACAGTTTCTCCAGTAGACTTCAGTCCTCGGCCAAGGCCTGACAGTCCCCTCTCAGAAGATTAGAGATGTCATTGATAATGGAGAATAATCAGCATATTAATCCAAACAAGTTATTATCACCATCCCTCGACGTCGTGCTGACGTTAAACTCACACTGGGATTTTGTTTCCCGGTAAGAATTGAAAAAAAAGAGCCTCTGAGGAGCATTGTGTCCGAGAGTCAAAGCGTGAGAGACTTTTTAAACCGAGGCACCAACACACCCGTCTGAAACCTGAAAGATGTAATTAGACGCTCAAAGGCTTCCTTGTTGAGATTTAGATGAGAACACTGTCCCACTCTCGAGTGTGTTTTGTTGCACATGAAGCAAAAATATATATATAGTGGAAAAAAAATATCAGGTTGTGTTTTTACGTCGGAGCTTTTCTGTGCCTGGAAACCTCACAGTGACGACAAGACTACAGGAAGTCACTGTATCTGGCCAGGAAACAGTCCCACATACATAACCCCCATGAAACCGCTGAATGTAATTATTTTAATTCAGTTTGGACCAGAACCACAATGAAGGTTTCTCACTGTTTCCAGTTTTCCTTTATGCTAAGCTAGTGCGCTGGTTGGAGCTTCGTCTTTACTAGAGAGTGGTGTCCATCTTCTCAGGAGCTTCTTCTAACAAACTGTAATCACGGAAATAAAACAGGATGTTCAGACTCAAGAATGTATAAATGTACACTTTTTAAAGAAAAGTTGGTCTTTTCTTTTAGTTTGAGTCGTTATTTGGATGTTCAAGATAACTACGGTGTCACAGCAGCAATAAAACAGCAACTTGCAAATAAGCGGGTGACACTAGAGCCGATATAAATCTCCTCTGATGTGGTTTTAACACTCAGCCGTAGATCCCACTATTTTCCAGTTTCGGTTTCTCAGTAAAACGTTTCCGAGCGTGTTTCTCTACCTGTCCTGCAGAAACCCTCGGTCGTTACAGTTCCCTCAGAGCAATAAAAGTCCAAATTAAAATTAAAGCGCAGCAGCTTGTGGTTTTCAACCCTTGTTTTGCCTCTTTTTCCTCAGGCTACGTACAGGGAGTCCGACCTTGATGCTGGAGCTTGTTGGGGCAAACAGAAAAACCTTCTACTAATCAGGGCTGAGGTTTTTTGGGTTAGAATTTAATCTCTTAAATTGAGTCATTATTTTCATAAAAGTACACTATGATTAAACATTTGTCAGAAGTAGGTGAAGCACTTTTTTTTTTTAGCTCTTTTTTTAATAAAGATATAAATACAACAATAAATACATTTTCTATCACAAAGCAAAAGGATATATGAATAGAGGATGATAAATAAGAAACAAGTCTCATTGACAAACACTTATAGCTCGGTTACGGATGTGGTTTCCTGAAGCAGACAGACAAAAAACATATTTATATGGGATGAACAAAAAATCGGCTCTCGGCGAAAAGTTAATAAACTTAATTTTTGGATGAGAATTCATGCATAATGCAACAACAAGTGCTTCACGGAAAAGCAGTTATATATAATATATAAACCTTTATAACACTAACCCTAAAAGCTGAAAAATAAAACATAATTCAATAGAAACAGCAGGTTAAGATAAGATTAAACAAGATGAAGCTAAACTGAACTAAACCTGTTTAAAAAAGTGTTGCTGAGCAAAGTTCTGTTTTCAACTGAACCCTGATATTTGCTGTTTAAACTGGAAGGAAGAGAAGCATCATCTTGGTTTCTTTTGTTCTGTTGCACAATAATTTGTTCAGTAAGATGAAAACAGACTCATATAAAATATATAAGTAAGAAAACGCTTATTTTCCCACTGCAAGCTGTATTTATATCTCTCTCCTGCTCACACTGTGTGTATAAAAACACTCTCTCACACAGAGCTGGATTCACACGACGCCTCTGCTCTAGTCCCATTAACCTCCGGCCCTGAGGTGGTTATGCAGCGGCCCTGGGATTATCTCAAATCTACAATGTCATGAAACACGTGTTTTTTTTTCCTTCCCACCCTCTTTTTCAGCTTTCTCCATTTCTGTCGTTTCAGTTTTTTTTATAAATCTCCATAAATCCCATGCAGACATGATGTTGTCTGGGAAAAGAGTGGAGGTTCGGTGTTAACGTTTGACCACCCTCAGATAACAAAGACTCAGCACCTCCCTGGAGGAGAGAGAATCCACCAGGACCTCCAGGCTTGACTGCAGCCAGAGGTCCACAGCTGTCCCCGTGTGTGTGGACACTACGATCACACGCTGCTCCACTAAACCAGAGTCCATGTGAATTGAAAATGATTCATAGGTTAACAGACCCTCTCTTGTCAAGAGTGAATGAAGGACGTCGTCGTGTCGTTTGTGACGAGCATGAACGCTCCGCTCCCCGTGTCGTGGCTTTTGTCCGACCAGACATCTGCCTTTTACTGTAACACCATGTGATCACGCTGAGAAAATGCTTGTCCGGCTTCCAGCGCCCCAGAAAGTTCAGACTGAAGGAAATAGTTTTTCCTCCCTCACTTCAGAACAGACGCCAGCTGTCCTTTATGTGAATTTCATGACACAATATCCTGCTGATGGATTAAAAAGGCGTCCAGCTCCGACACATTTCATCCAACGAGCTGGATTTACATCCAGCGACGCTGGGAGAGTTTGAGCAGTTCACAGCCTCGACAGATTATCAATGCAGCCCCCTCAGGTTTTAAGACTTCACAAGTAAATATGTGCTTTAACGTTTGTCTTGTGTGGTAGGGTCAAGTTGAAAAAGTGTTTATTCCAATGCAGTAATAACCTCCACCGAGTTAGTTTCTGTTTTCTGGTGGAAGAATGCACCAAGTAAGAAGCTGTTGTGTAGCAGAGATTACAAAGATTCAGGAAAGAATCAGCAGTTTACATGTATCTTCAATATTTTAAGTGAACACAGAAATGTGCCATTCTAGTTTATGTTGTTGGGTTTTGGGGAAAGAAAACTAAAAGTCAGCTAAGACAGTTGAAGTTTTAAATCCATTGTATGTACATTTTTATTTCACAATTCTGCTTTTTTAATTCATCTGCTCCAGAAACTCTGGTTTGTGTTAATTGTATTGGTTGATTTTGGTTTTTTAGGTCTTCCGTTCGTCCACAAGATTCTTGTGAACGTGTCGATTGAATTTGTTCAGTTGGACTCAGATATTAATAGATTAGGACAAAGGTCAAGTTCCTCACTGAACACATATCTCCAGAAATAAAGTGAGAGGTTTCACTTTAGGTTTTTAAATGATATTCTCTCAACATGTCATTTCATCACATTTAGAGTTACTAACTCTTTCTCACGGTCACACCTTCCCCTCTCTCTCTGTTTCCAGAACCACGACCACGGCTGCATCGCCTGTCGCATCATCTACCGCTCCGACGAGCTCCACCCTCCCATCCTGCCGCCCCGGGCCGACCTCACCGTCGGGTTGTACGGTCAGTGGGTGAGTCAACGCTGCGAAGTGCGCCCCGAGGTCCTCTTCCTCACCCGCCACTTCATCTTCCACGACAACAACCACACGTGGGAGGGCCACTACTACCACTACTCCGACCCGGTCTGCAAACACCCCACCTTCACCATCTACGCCCGAGGACGCTACAGCCGAGGGCTTCACTCCACTCAAGTCAGGGGCGGGACGGACTTTGTCTTCAAAGGTAACTGTTGGACATTTGTCTCGTCTTTCAACAGAGGACCAACAACTCTCAGAAGAGAAACTACAGATATTTGAAGTGTCACTGCACATCCTAAAGTCCTCTCTTCACCTTATTCTGCACATATTTGCATCCTTCACCTCAGTTTGTGACTTAGACATGAATTCTTTTTAATTTTGAGACTTTATTCAGTTCATTCCAAGGTTCTAACAGAGCTGTACCCTGACCAGACCTCTAAATTATACAAATGTACCCCATTGTACTGGTAATAACATTATAGTGCAGCTATTTCTATTATATTTTATTACTAGCTGAAGCTATTACTTAATAATATATTTGCACAAAATCTCTCTGCACAGTAAATATTAAGCTACAGAACAGACATGGGGAACAAATCCTATCATGTCTTCACTAAATGAATATTATCATCAAAAATAATTCATGATAACTATCTTATCATGACGTTTATAGAAAGTTTTAAATTATTTATCATTAATTTATTTTATCAGATTTCTGGCAAATGACAAATGACAATCAAATACTACAAAATACGAAAGACTGTGCAGATAGATGATGATCAGAGTGATGAGAGAGGATCAAATCAATAATTAATTGTTTAAATATTAAGATTATCATCAATATTGGGATATAGCGACAGGTTGACTCACCAAAAAGACTGGAAGCAGGAGGAACGTCTGTCCTGGCTCCTTCAGAATCCTCAGGATTAAATCTGGATTAAAGAATTACAGAGCGTTAGTAGTTTAGATTAGTTAACAATCTGTAGCTTCATGTATAAAGATAGTAAGTCCTGGTATTAAGATTATTATCATCAACCGGTCTGGAGTGTAGACTTCTTCTAGATACACGAACATCTGTAGAACAAGCAGAAGGCCTCTCGTCTCTTACCTCTGAGCTTCTCCTCACTGTCTCCCTTCCTTCAGTGAACCACATGAGAGTGACCCCGATGGACTTGGCCACCACCTCCCTCCTCAACGTCTTCAACGGCAACGAGTGTGGAGCTCAGGGCTCCTGGCAGATCGGCGTGGAGCAGGACGTCACCATAACAAACGGCTGCGTGGCGCTGGGCATCAGGCTCCCCCACACCGAGTACGAGCTCTTCCGCATGGAGCAGGACGCCCACGGCCGCTACCTGCTCTACAATGGCCAGCGTCCCAGCGACGGCTCCAGCCCGGACCGGCCGGAGAAGCGGGCCACGTCCTACCAGATGCCCCTGGTGCAGTGCTCGGCAAGCAGTCAGTCGTCTGACTACAGCCGAGGGAGCGACGGCGACAGGCATCAGCAGCACCACAATGACTGCGCAGGATGGCACGCAGGAGGCCGGAGACACGTCGCCGTGGCTTTGGGTGCGTTGGTCGTGTCCGTGCTGCTCTTCTGGCAAAGCTAGAGAGACGTTTGACACAAGACAAGAGCGTGGATTATAAGAGCAGACTGGGAGACAGACTTGAACTTGGAACTTTCCCTCTCTGCGATGAGAACGAGGATGAAACCTGGTGCCACTGATCCTCTGGACTCCAGCGACCAAAGACCCCGACACTGCTGCACCACAGAAACTGCACTTTACAGTGGAACCAAAGAGCGACTTGTCTGTGTTTCCACAAATATACAAAGATGTCTTTATA